CTTATCTTCCGCTTTCTGCCAATCGCTGGTTAGGCTAATAAGACCCAGCGAACTCGGGCGGATGGAGAGTAGTCTTCGGCTATTGGAACCATTACGTCGAAGGTGCGAACTGCAGGTGCATGACGAGAAAAGACCGATCAACTGCAGGGTTGCTGCAAGGTATCGGCTCATCTGTCACGAAGTCGGACACCCGACCAAACGACTGTCCGTGCCTAATTCTGGTTGTGGATATGCATAGTGGGAGTATGTTTGCACGGGCAGCTTCAGAGGCCATTTGCGGTCGGTTCCGGCAGTGCTTGGTAGACTGTCCAGATTGTCATCGTCTCTTGTGGTATCATCCCGTGGTGTAAGCGGACACGCGGACACGCGGACACGCAGTAGGCAACAGGCTACTCGTGCCCGTCTGGTGGTCCCTCCACCTGAGCCTGGCATGCAGGTGGGGCGCCAGACCAGAACGAGTATGAAACGTCGGCAAACATAAAAGGTCAATGCGTGAGTTATTTGTCGGCATGAGGACAAGACGAGCAGCCGGTAACCACGTTGTGTGGCTCGGTTGACGCACTAGCATGGCAAATGCTGACGCTGACGCTGACGCCGACGCCTACAGCCATGCCAACACAGGCACCGGCATAAACACGGAAGTAGACAGCCGAGCGACATGATCCTCAGGACGACGTAGGCATTCTTTTGTTATCCGACTGACCGTGACAGCGCCGTTCTGTATTTGGACGACTGCAAGTCCAGTCAACGGACAGTCACACAGCCAGTTTTAGGACTAGCCAACAGCGGGGAGAAGAGACGCTATCAAGACAGCTTGCCAAGTTTATTGCTAGCAGGCACGCGCCTATACGCCACGTTATACACACATACGCATGTATCTATATAGGCATATATATGTGTATATATATATATATGTAATATTTTTTTGCAATAGTTTTTGGATGGTATATCAAGTCAAGGTATAAAAAAATGGGAAAAAACGACTCAAATGGAGAGAGGATTGAAAAAAGGCGTAGTGCGCAGAGTTGTGGGGCAAAAAGCACAGGTCGCGTCGGTATATACAGTCGAAAGTGGCCTTGTCACCTTCAGATGGGCTGCTGCAATATTTACATATTCATGAGAAATGCGTCGGACGCGAAGATCAAGCCTGGGCGGCAGGCTATGCATGACACGGGGAGGGAGAAGTCGGCGCTCGCCCGTCTGCCTGCAAGGTGGAGAAGATTGGGGCTGATTGGCCGACAAAGATCGAGGTCGACTAGACGACAGGAAAAAGTGGGCCAGGCGCAGGTCCATGCTTGAGAGGGGCGGTGAAGAGAAGAGGTGATGGAGGACGGCGCTTGTGGAGTGGATGCGATCGAGCCTACACGACGCCGAGTGCCTTGATTGTGGGCACGCCAATCGCGTCTGAAATGTCCGGTTCAGACCTGGGCCTTCGCATCAACACGCCCGGATTGGCGTCCACGGAGTAGGCCGGGCCCGCGGGAATGCTACGTCCGACCGCCGCCGGTGGCGGCTGTGCTGCCGCCGCTGTTGCCGGTTGGGAGTGAGTGGAGTCTGAGCTCGAGCTCGAGCTCGAGCCCGGCGTGTGGCGGGGACTGGGGTTGGTGGGCCGGCTTTGCGGGCTGTGCCGGTTGCCGCCGGACTGCGCGTCTGACCCCAGCAGCGGGTTCCGCTCAGGCCTGACCGGTGGCCCGGCGGACTGGCGGAGTCCGGCCTCGGCGGCGAGTCGTCGGCCCGGGCTCGGCTTGACGGAGGCGCGTCGCGACCACGTCCGGTAGCACATGATGACGGTGAGGGCGGAGAGCAGAAAAGCGATGCAGACGGCCACGATCACGAGCAGATAGAAACGAGACGTGCTTTCCGTGTCGACCAGACGAAGCTGCAACAGGTCGTGAAGCCCGGCCGGCAAGCCGAGCTGGGCCAGCTGCCAGTCGGTCAGCTCGTGGACGGGCAGCCGAGGGCAGTCCGAGGCCAAAGAGGCCGCAACCTCGACCGGCGAAGCTAAGCCGAGACGCACGTCCTCGGCGTCGGCCTCGGCCGCGGACTTGGCCTTGGCCTCGCCGTCGGCGGAGGCGCGAGCGAGACGGGCACAGACCGCTTCGGCTTCGGGGTCGCCGTAGACCAGGTCGGCCTGGGGCCCTCGGCGCGGCGTGGCCTCGTCGAGCGGCAGGCCGCGCAAGAGGTTGCCAGGGCCGATGAGGGCTAGCGGGCCGTTGGGCCATGCCGCGCTGCCATGCCAGACGGCGACGGCCGAGCGCCAGCCGGTCGGCGAGACTGGCGACGGGCCAATGGTGAGCACGAGGCGCGGCGAGGTGGCGGCAGTGTCGAGCTCGGCGTCGAGCTCGAGGCCGGGCTGCGGCTGGGGCTGGGCGGGATTGGGGGTGAATGGGCAGAAGGCGTCTGGGTCAATCTGTCGCCAGGGGTTGCCGGAGATGTTGAGCTGGAAGGGGAGGGTGGCGCCTCGACGTCCGGACAAGAGGCTGGCGACGAGGCGTCGCGTGAGGTGGGTGAGTCGGTTGTCGGCCAGATCGAGCCAGTCGAGCCGGGCGGGCAGAAGAGACGGGGGCACGAGTCGGCTCGCTTGCGTCGGCGTGGAAAGGCAGATGAGTCGGTTGCCGGAGAGATCGAGCC